TCGGAATCGACATAACCACTTATAATTTTACCATCAACATCTGGTTTAAACAATAATTTAACATCAATAGAACCCTAACCTAACGAACACATGACCTAAACAGTTTTACCTGGATTTTCCATGGCAAGAGGTTTGCTTTAAAACAGCTGATCCCACTATTTGCTGTAATGAAATAACACAAGTAATCTTATCTGGAATGGATGCATATATCCCACATACAACTAAACGTAGAGCTAATGCAAAACCTTGGTTCAACAGCCAGTGTCAAACGGCTGTACAGAAAAAACACAGAGCATATAACCTTTGGAAACGACAACAAACCGCTCAAAACCACACAGAATTTATAGAAGCCAGAAATAGTTGCAAAATTACTATTGATTCCGCTAAAGAAACATACAATCAAAGAATAAAAAACAGGTTGCTGAATTGTCCAAGTAGTTCTAGGTCCTTTTGGTCTCTTGCAAAAGCTGTTGGATCTAACTTCACCAAGTCATCCATACCAACACTTACAGATAAAAATAATCACTTAGCCACAACATCAGAGGAAAAAGCCAATATGCTGGCCCAAATGTTTTCCTCCAACTCCAACCTAACAGTGCCAAACGAAAAAACTCCACCGTTCATTGAAAGGGTTTCCCATAGTATGCCAGAGGTACCCTTTTGTCACAGAGAAATACGAAAATCCCTTAAAAAGCTAGATACAAACAAAGCAATGGGTCCGGATGGCATTTCCGCAATAGTACTCAAAAATTGCGCCAACGAACTCACCCCAACTTTCGCAAAATTATTCAATTTGTCTTACAGGCAAGGAGTATATCCATCATCATGGAAGTCTGCCGCAGTACAACCCATTCCAAAGAAAGGAAAAAAGACAGATCCGTTAAACTATAGACCAATTTTTTTTTTTTTTTTTTTTTTACGGATATGCGCACTCGCAAGGAAATGTCCTATCACGCTCGAGAAGCGGCAAGTGCGCGGAAATGTCGGTGTATGTTGGTCTTGAAACGGTTCAGGTTGTAACCTGCAGGGAATTGCTCTACTTCCGGTGAAATCAAAAGTAATGAAAAGAGTTGTGAACAATCACCTAACCAAGTACTTGAAAAAGTACAAAATTATCAACGATAAGCAATACGGATTTCGAAAATATAGGTCAACTGGCGATTCACTTACATACGTCACTCACTTATGGCAAAAAGCGATTGAGTTGCGGGGTGAAACAAGAACAATTGCCTTAGATATATCTAAAGCATTCGACAAAGTTTGGCATGAAAATCTGCTCAACAAGCTCTAAGCAATGGGATTATCGCCGAAACCTTGCACTTGGTTTGAAAGTTACCTAAAGGACAGATCCATTTATGTTGCACTGGATGGCCAGAACTCCAACTCTTACCAAATAAATGCTGGTGTGCCACAGGGAGCAATCCTTTCGCCAACTCTTTTTCTGATTTACATAAATGACCTCATAGATAAAACAGTAAATCCACTTTATTGCTTTGCAGACGATGGCAATGTAGTCTCCTCACTCATACCACCCACAGGTCTTTCCGCACGTGAATTCCATCATCTTAGACTAACTCAAATATCGCAGATAAATAACGACCTGGAGATAATAGAGGACTGGGGTAACAAAAACCTTGTACAGTTCAACGCGCAGAAAACCCAAGCAGCTCTGTTTTCAAAAAAGACCAGAACCGGTGAGCCAAACATCATGCTATCTAGAAGTGCTGTCACATTACAGAGTCAGTTGAACATCTTGGGGGTTACTGCAGAGACCAACATGTCTTGGCACAGTCACGTGGCAGATATTGCTAAAAGGGCGTCCCAAAAGCTGGGGGTGCTATTTCGTACAAGACATCTGTACACACCAAGCCAATTGCTGACACTCTACAAAGCCCAGATTCGACCAACTATGGAGTACTGCTCACATATATGGAGTGCAGCACCCAAACATACCTTAATGCTTTTGAACACCGTGCAAAAACGAGCTATCAAGCTGATCAATGACCCCGCACTTACTCGTAACTTGGATGGTCTCGAACATCGCAGATCTGTGGGCGATTTATCTCTCTTCTACAGGTACTATCACGGAAAATGCTCTGAAGAGTTGGCACGTATGATTCCACCGAGAGTAGCGCCTACCAGGCGAACCCGTCAAACAGACGGTAACCATGAATTTACTGTCAAGCTAGAGGCACCAAGAACCTCATTATATCAGAATTCATATCTCTGGAGAACAGCATCGCTGTGGAATAAACTCCCTGCGACGGTTTTCCCTGCAGGTTACAACCTGAACCGTTTCAAGACCAACATACACCGACATTTCCGCGCACTTGCCGCTTCTCGAGCGTGATAGGACATTTCCTTGCGAGTGCGCATATCCGTAAAAAAAAAAAAAAAAAAAAAAAAACCCTTAACATATCTAACGACTCTTTTCAATGCCTTCAACAAATTATTGTTAGCCTTATCCTGATATCTACTAAGTAGATTGACACTTTCGCATCGGGTCTGGAACCTTGAACTGCATAGATAAGACTACCAATAATCTGTCTGCACAGTTTCTGCAACTCAGAATCATTATTTTCATTTCTTAAATCAAAAACAGTATTCATATCTAATGGTGTGTGCATAGGGTTACAGTCCTGCATTCCAAATCTTTGTAAAAGTTTTTTTAAATAATTTGTCTGACATAATTCAGCACAACCTTCTTTTAAATTTTGTTTAACATCAATTCCTAAATATTGAGAAATGATTCCAAGATCTTTCATATCAAAATTATTGCAAAATATATGTTTCAATTTTTCTATTTCAGGTAAATCAGTCCCCAAAATTAGTAAATCATCCACATAAATTAAAACATATAATTTACTGTTTTCAGAACATTTGAAATATAAACAGTGATCATTTTCGGACCTAAGAAAATCCTCGTTTTTCATGAGTGAATCTAATTTAGTGTTCCAACACTTAGGACTTTTCTTAAGACCGTAAATAGATTTATTTAACTTACATACAGTACTGCTATTATTTTTATTGTTGCCAGGTAGACTCATATAAACTTCCTCATTTATTTCCTCATGTAGGAAAGCACTCTTAACGTCCATTTGAAAAATAGGCTTACCCAGCTTGCATGCAATCACAATAAAAACTCTGAAAGTTGTAGGTTTGGCAACAGGAGCATACATATCATATAAATCTTCACAGTTCTGCTGAAAACCACGAGCAACAAGTCTCGCCTTATATTCATTATCACTTTTTATTTTAAAAACCCACTTACTGTCAATCACCTTTTTGTCCACTGGCCAAGGCACTTCACTCCAAGTCTCTTTTTTTTAGCACATTAAGTTCTTTTTTGATAGCTTCTTTCCAATTATCACTATTTTTCCCTGAAACAGCTTCCTCAAAAGTAACTGGTTCTTCATTTTCTTAATAAAAACACATATCTGCTGAATCTCCGAACACATCAAAGTCTTTTAACCATGTTGGTCTCTTGATACTTCTTTTTCCATGTCTTCTAGTTATATTTCGACTTTCGAGTTACATTTTCCTGTTCTGGCATCACTTCAGGTGTTTCAGTCTCGTATTCCGGTTCGTTTAAGTTTTCTTCGGTTTCTGTATTATCATTTTCCAGGAAAATATTATCTTCTTCATCATGATTTATTGTAGGCTCTTCTTCATTGTCTTGATTTTCTTCTCCATTTTCACTTTTATTTTCAAAATTTAGAGAAATATTGGTTTTGCTATATTTTCCAATTTTGTTCTATTCTCATCTGCATTATCATTTTTAGGTATAAAAATTACATCCCTGTGAATTTAAACTTTTTCTTTCAGTGGCAAAAATATCCTAAAGCCTTTAACTTCTTGAGAGTATCCCACAAAAATACCAATTTCATTTTTAGCATCCAATTTACTTTCCCGCACTAGTGCGGGAAAGTGACATTTTCGGAACTAAGATGCGTGCGGGAAAGTAATAAAAAATGCACGCTCGTAGAAAAAAGTAACTTTCAAGTGCGTAAAAGTGACTTTCAAGTGCGTAAAATTAACTTTTAAGCACTAGTGCCTAAAAGTGTCATTCATTGTTCAGAAATAAAAAACACATTAAACACAGATTTGAATTTTATTTTGTATTTATTATGAATATTAGTCACCACCATGAAAGGTGTCGAGCAAAAGCAGGTGACAAATATTGAAATAAAATTGTGTTTTTTTATTATGAAACGCCAGTAGAAAAAAATCTTGTATACAATACGTTACGAAACGAAGTCTTTTAGTCACTCGACGTGTTGTTACACTTTTCACGTCGCGTGCCTAAAAGACCCTCATTTCGCAACTTATTGTATAAATAGCTATTTTGAAGGCTGCCTGCGGCGAGCCTTCATCATTATGAAACCCCCCCCCCCCCAAATAAAAAACCTGGGTGCGCCACTGATGACAACATAACAATTGAACAACTTCACAAACAGAAAAGCACACTACTTTTCTTTTATGATGACCACCAATTTGACCAACTGTCGTTATCAAATTGTTGTCACATTTTGTCATAAAAAAAAACCTTAACATAAATAAACAATAATAAAATAATTCTATTTTAGTTTCTGACATTACGGTCGTGCGGTAAAAAGCATCGGCTTGTCTAATTTGAAAAATAATACCTACAACATTTCAAATAGTCCTACTATGTTGTCTATGTTGAATAAAAATTTATAATTTATTGGATTTGAGAGAAAGGAAGTATTGTCCGTCGTTTTTAACCTGACATTTTCCGTATGAGGACCCTTCGCTCCTCGAGGAGGTGAAGCTTATAACAAAAACAGGTGTGACGTCAGGTGACCATTGGCCTATGTAGGAAGCCACCAGCTCACATTTTTTTGGAGATTCTTTTTTACTTCTTTTTTACCTATGAATATATCAGCAGGTACGAGATGTCACATTTGAAAAGTATTTCATATATTGTCAGACAAGCAAAAAAAACCTCTATCGAAATTATAGTAAAATTATCAGAAATCATGGACGCAATTGCTAACAAAATCGCTCTGATCACTGGAGGAGCGAACGGTATAGGACCAGCTTACATCTCGAAGCTGTTCCAAGGAGGCATGCAAGGCTGTACCATTGCCGATATCGATGAAAAGAATGGAGAAAAAGTATGCGCAGAAATGAACTGCACTTATGGCAAAAATAAAGCGATATTTATCAAGGCCGATGTGTGCGACAAGGAAGCGTTCGAATGCGTTTTCAAGGCCAACATGCAAAAATTCAAACGACTGGACCTGGTGGTGAATAATGCTGGAATTCTAAGGGACCAAGTTTGGGAAAAAATGATCGATCTTAACGTAGCATCCACTGTACAGGGTAGTCTTTTGGGTATCAAATACATGGGAAAAAACAACAAAGGTTGCGGAGGCACTATCGTGAATACAGCCTCCATTTTGGGCTTGCAGGGCTTGCCTGGAACTCCTGTTTATACAGGAACCAAGCACTTTGTTATCGGATTCACCAGATCTATTGGCACCAAATGGTGGTACGATTTGACTGGAATCAGATTCCTGACTATATGTCCTGGTGTGACGCTCACTTCTATGATTCACGATGCCAACGACTGGGTGTTTTCGGGATTTCCTGGTTTAGGAAAGCTTGTGGTGCAAGGGCTCGGCAGCGAACCTTCGCAAACTGTCGAAGATCTTGCGGAAGGCCTCAATGTAATGCTCAATGAAGGCGAAAACGGAAGTATTTGGGTGTGTGAAGGTGCCATTCCAATTTACGAGGTTGTTATACCGAAGATTCATGATATGAAAAAATTTAAATTAGGAGCAAAGTGTTGATTTTGTCTACTAAAGCTGAGTTAAAAGCAGTATTATCAAAATCATAAAATAAGCACTGTTTCTAATCCACAATAAGTTCAAAAATTGTTACATGCATTTTGTGAAGTAAAATTAACTAATAAAAAATCAGTGTGGATATTGTTACGGAACTTCCGGTCGAATATTTTTTTTTTATTAACCCGGAATTTCCGAATTATTATTTTATTATTATTCGTCCGGAAAATAATACACCATGTACCCCTGCAATGACACAATCATTACTCCCTATCCCCCCAGGCCCCATTGTGCTGGCGCTGGCGCCGCGCCGCCAATTTCGAATTTGAATTTTCTATTTTCTCCCGGACGATCAAGCAGGAAACTTCAAATGTAAAACTTATAGATCTCGTCGAGTACTACAAAAAAGCCTATAAGAAGTATCCCTCCAGGGGACACCGTTTTCGAGAAAATCGACCTCGAAAAATTTTAACAAAATTACAAGAAATTTCAAATTTGACGGCCAATATCTCAAAGACAAAAACGGTCTGGAATCTCATTTAAAAAATATTTTGTAGATAATTTCATCCTCTTTCAAATGAGATATGACTCGAAACGATAGGTTAAGAAATAGCGGAGTTATAGGCGAAAAAGTGGCCTCGTGTCGGATTCCCACAATTTTTTTCTGATCAAAATCGAAATTTCCTTTTTTATTTTTTTTTCGGCCTTAAGATGTACCGTAGCGAGGAGTGTCAAATTTACTTTTTAACGTATTTTTTGCTCCTCTATCCGATAGATTTTTTTTTTTTTGAGATTCAATATTTGAATTTTTTCGACAAAAAAATTCAAGGACCTTCGAATTTTTTTTAAAAATGTTCAAACCGTCCTAACTCGAAAACGAAAAGCTTGGGAGAAAAACTTTAAATATAAAACTTATAGATCTCGTCGAGTACTACAAAAAAGCCTATCCACGGGGGCACCGTTTTCGAGAAAATCGACCTCGAAAATTTTGACAAAATTACAATAAATTTCATCTTTGATGGCCAATATCTCAAAGACAAAAACGGCCTGGAAACTCCATAAAAAAATATTTTGTAGGTAATTTCATCCTCTTTTAAATAAGACATGACTCGAAACGATCGGTTAAGAAATAGCGGAGTTATAGGCGAAAAAGTGGTCTCGTGTCGGATACCCACAATTTTTTTCTGATCAAAATCGAAATTTCCTTTTTAATTTTTTTTCGATCTTAAGATGTGCCGCAGCGAGAAGGGTCAAATTAACTTTTCGACGTATTTTTTGCTCCTCTATCCGATAGTATTTTTTTTTTTTTGAAATTCAAAACATGATTATATACAGGGTGAGTTACTAAGCGCGCGGTGGTCCATATCTCCTATACTATCGGAGATCGAAGAAAAACCTACATACAAAACTTGTAGATAAACATGAGTACTATATTCCTAAATTATTTTCCAATATACAGGGTAGCCCAATAACTAGCAGTGACACAAAGTTATGTTTTTTAAAATGACTTCCCCTGTATATTATGACATTTTTAAGTTTTGCGGAAAATTCTGAATATATTTCATGTACAATGTCATATACCTATCCTCAACTGTTTCGGAAATATTGACAGTTGAAAACTAACTTTTTTGCATCCTTGACAGATTGTAAAACCTGAACGGTTAATTTTACAAGAAAACGGTTTTTACATTCCTATCTTAGTTTTTCATAAACTATCATTTGACACCAATCTTGAATTTAATCTATGGTTAAAAATCCCGCCTAAATTATTAATCTTCGGTTAAATTCAAAGTTGGTGTCAAATGATAGCTTATGAAAATCTAGGAATGTAAAATCCGTTTTCCGCTAAAATTGACCATTTAGGTTTCACACTCTGTCAAAGATGCAAAAAAGTCAATTTTCAACTATCAATATTTCCGAAACAGTTGAGGATAGGTATATGACATTGTACATGAGATATGTCTAGAATTTTCCGCAGAATTCAAAAAAGTCATAATATACAGAGGGAGTCATTACAAAAAAATAACTTTGTGTCACTACTAGTTATTGGGCCACCCTGTATACTGGAAAATAATTTAGGAATGTAGTACCCATGTTTATCCACAATTTTTGTATTCAGTTTTTTTTCGATCTCCGTTAATATAGGAGATATGGACCACTGCGCGCTTAGTAACTCACCCTGTATAATATTTCAAAAAAGACGTTCGGCGTCGCCAGGCCGTTAGTTTTTGACATATATCGATGAAACTTTATTTTAGGGTTTTTGGAGTCTGGGGATCGTTTTCTGACTTTTGTTTTTTTAAAAAAAGAAAAGATAAAATTTTTTGACATTGACAGTTGTCCAAATTAAAAAAAAAAACACATGGGCATATAGATTTAGCCTCGGCGAACACATAGGAAATACTGGAAAAGTACCATGGCCAACTTTGACAGCGCCAAAGTCAAAAAGTTGACAAGCAGGTACAATATCGAAAAAAGAGATTCGTCTCGCACATTATTTTTCCGAAACATATCAAGTCGCTTGAAACAAATTTTGGTTATAAATGTACTGGACTACTGCTTAATAACAAAGCGCGCGAAGCGTGCTGTTGTTTTCCTAAATTCAATACATGCAAGGACTAGTACGCATTACGTGGACAGGTTAGTTTGGGCTAGTTTGCATATTTTTGGTTAGTTTCATTACAGTTCATTTAATACTGGTTACTCGACTGGTTATAAGTGAACTGGACTACTGAAAAAATGAAATTCGAAATTGATGCTTACGTGGCATAACATAACCTACGCTCAAATGTGTCATCGTACAAGTAAAAAAAATTTCAGGCACACAAGTAAAAAAACAATCCGGACGAATAATAATTAGGTTTGTTCCAGCAGGCTATCAGAAATGTTGGCAGCAGCTTGTGACATGCGCAATGACAAATTTGTGTTCCAGCAAAGAAATTTTAGTGACAATTTGCAAATGTCAGCTGTTTCAGCAGATGTTTGAAACATTTATAACGTGTTGGCAACTGCTCGAAATGCTTGTCGATTTTCTTCAAACATTTCAATTCCTAACTCAGCTTTGACCTTCACCTTTGATCAAGGTTCCACCTGATCAATTTTTTCATTACAGAATTACAATGAAAATAGCGGCCAATGCCAAGCGGCAAGCAATGAAATTGGCGCCATATATTTAACTCAAACAACCAGGAGATTTTTCATCAAAAAACTGTTTTTTGTTTATTTTGTGGTGTTCTAAGGTGATTTTTTAGTGTTTGGAAGGATAATTTTCGAATTTTAGGATGTGAAGTTTTTCTTTCATGAAGGTATTAGTGAAAAACCCGGATGTTGGCAGAAGGTATGAGTTCTTTTTGACAAACCTTTATCTACTAAATAATTAGGCACCTACCTACTCTCCAGGATTTATTTTCTGTTTAGTTTTTTCTCAACCAAATCTTGAAGCTTATTGTCTGCTATTCAAGGTATCAACACAAGTTGAGGATAGTAAAAGGCTTGGATCCATACAACGTTTATGTGAAAAGACTTTTTGGTTTTTTAAAATGGATTTCATCAAATTTTTTCTCTCAATCCATGAGGCTCTACGTAGTACAGAAAAATCATCATTTTTTTCCGTTAAAAACCTGTGTTTTGTATCTGCAGGCACGGCATAAAACGAGACTATGTCGCGATTAGAACGGCTCCCACAACTATAAGTACAATACATAACGTAAGCATTTTTCAAAAAATCTATATTTTACTACTTTACACAAATCAAAAATCGCAATAAAACGTAGTGTATAAACCTCAATGGTATAAATAAACACACCTCACAGAGTACAGACGCTTGGCATTGGCCTCCATGTTGAACTTTTTTGGACAGCTTGTTGGATTGCCTTATTGGGAAATGTCAAACATTTTCGTTCCAGCAGAAATTTGTTGCCAACTTAAAAACATCTGTCACCAAAAAATTTAACTGTTAGGTTAATGTCACCAACATGTTTGCAACTTTTTGCTGGAACAAACCTATAATAATAACCCGGAAATTCCGGGCTAATAAAAAAAAAAAATATGCAACCGGAAGATCCGGGTGATTAGGGACACCCATAAAAAATATAAAAATTATTTATTTCACATTTATAATTTACCAATAATTATATTAGATTAGCTGGTAAGGGTGGGAATGTGTAAGTTATCGATTTTCCAGCTATGCGACATAGTAAAATCTATGAAGTTACCTCTTAATTTAATAATATATTTCCAGGTGAAAATAGCTATTTATACAATAAGTTACGGTATGAGCGTCTTTTAGGCACGCGACGTGAAAATTATCCAACGAGGCAAAGCCGAGTTGGACAACACGTCAAGTGACTAAAAGACATCGTTTCGTAACGTATTATATACAAGATTTTTTCTACTAGCATTTTATAATAAAAAAACACAATTTTATTTCATGTGAAGAGGTCGATTACGCCCAAAATCTTTGTTACTTGCTTTTGCTTGACACCTGACACTTTCCATGCGATTTTTTTTTTCAAGATTCCATATCAATAATTAAAATCTCAGAAAGTAGGTAACAACACAAAGTTCTGTTTTGGGTAACCCAAACGTTCAATTCAATAATTACATTTTTAATATTCATAATAAATACAAAACCAAATTCAAATCTATGTTTAGTGTGTTTTTTTATTTCTAAATAATGAATGACACTTTTAGGCACTAGTGCTTAAAAATTACTTTATCGCATTTTTGACAGTAATGTGATACATAACTGCATTCAAAATTGAGTGGTAAAGTGCCACTTTACCTCGATAGCAACACTTTACCACATAGCAACGTCATTGATAGCAACCATTTTGTAAATCAATTTTCATTTATTAAGCCTTATTCACAGTGTGCGAAATTGCAGCATTTCGCAATTTCACGCCAATCAAATAAATTAAAAATAGGAAATAGTTATTTTATTTCTGGTTATTATAAAAATTGATAATATAATTATTAACTTCTATTTTTTGCGTTTGCCGGATAGA